TCAAAGGGCTTAAGTGCTCACGGTTGGGGGGATTCACTGTGGCTAACGCAATCACTCATTACTCTGACACGTACAGAGCGACGCTGACACGTACGTAGGCTGTACGTTTGACTAAGAGCTCTCGGTGGTGCTCTTTCTTACTCTCCTTTTCCAGTAGGTGCTGGGTCACAGCCGGCGCTAGGCCTTGCATTCACAGACGGCGATGGGTTCTCTTACACAGCCGGCACTACGTCTTCTTCTTACACAGCCGACGCTACATTTTCCTCTTACTTAGTCGGCGCTGCGTTTTTCTCTTACTCAACTGGTGCTACATTTTCCTCTTACTCAGACGGTGTTACGTTTTCCTCGTACTCAGCCTGCGCCATGGTTTCCTCTTACTCAGCCGGCGCTACGTTTTCCTCTTACTCAGCTGGCGCTGCGTTTTCCTCTTACTCAGCCGGTGCTACAGTTTCCTCTTACTCAGTTGGCGCAACATTTTCCTCTTACCTTCTCTTTTCTGCTCCTTCGTCACTGACGGTGTTAAGCTCCCACGCGTGGCAATGCCTCAGATGGCAATATGCCCATGGGTGATATGTTCTCGACAATACGCTAGACGGCGATACCTCGCGGCGATGCTTATGCGCGGCAATACTCCTTACGCCTTTCACGAGTGGCGATACTCCTTGTTCGCACGCAGCATTACCAATTCTTCACCCTTGAACGCGATGTTAGATTTGGCTTCACCCAGACGGCGTTAATCCTTGCCCCTAATGCCTGGTGTGCGCTTCCGTTTTTCTCGACTTCCTTCTCTCTCTTCAGTGGCGCGAGTAGTTCGATTTAATCGAATTGTGACCCTTACAATCTCTCTCTCTCTCTCTCTCTCTCATCTCTAAGGTTAAGCCAATGGGCTTAAGGAAGGCTAGGCATTGGGGCTTTAACAATTTGGTTCCTAGATTGAGATCCATACGCATTTGAGTGTGTTTTGCAATACGTAATAGAATCCAGAGACCGACCATTGATCTCAAGCACCATTGGAAGAATGAGACTTGACGTGGAGTGTGCTAAGCCCATTTGATATAATCTCCGGTAATTTTACTTGTTTTATCTTATTTTTTTATTGTGCTCTTCTATTCCCATAAAGTAATGTGTCAATTTTTTTATTTATTGAATAAAATAGTTATATTTAAAGTTGTAGCAAGTGAATTTATTGGACATTGTAAGTGATCTTGCTGGTGAAAGAAAATAAAAATTTAAATTTATATATATCGTGCTTTATCATATAGTCCAACTTTTATTGGTATAAGAGCTAGATCTATTTACTGCCCTATTTATTTTATTTCACTATTTTTGTGAATTGGGAATGAGATATAAGAAAACCAATTACTTTTGTGGTCAAGTGATACAACTCCGAAAAAATTATTTTCATGTTCAAACACGGAAAAGGCACTCTACAGAATAGAATATTATGTACTGTTTTGGAGCATACCTCAATGATATTATGTGCTTTTGAGAATAGGATCTACCTGCAAAATTTCATAGGGAGATTTTTGGGAAATTGGGAGCTATAGACTCATAATTGAGGGGTGTCAGTTCTGACCTTGCAAAATCTAGGAATTGTCCAATGAGTTCCGTGATATTTCCACCAATCAAATGATTTTATTTTTAAATAAATTTTAACTGTAACACATAAAATTGAGTCCACTTAAAAAAAAAAAAAAAACTTTCATGGAGAAAACCCTTATAGATTGAAAGATATAATTATTTTATTGAAGGGTGCACAAGTGTTGTTTTTGCAACAAAAATTGTCTCAATGATTTAGAAGTTATGATTTTATTTTCAGCATTAACAATATATTTTAAGGCTCAAGCTAACTTTCTAGATTTCCATTTTGAGTCTAGCTTTTAATAAAAATTATTTAAGAGTGAAATATCCATGGAAAATAAGGAATAAAAGTTTTTATTGAAGAGGGGTTACCATGAATTTTTGCAGTTTGATGTGTTTCATTGAGGATGTAAATAACTATATTTGTTAAGCCTACTTAACAGAGTGATATGAAGCATGCAGAAAGATATTTGTTGCCTTTTTGTGTCTACTTTCAAACAAAAAGGGTTTGTAAAGGAAATGCCTTGTGGGTAGAGAAAAAAGACAATTGTACTAGATAGTGTTCATCCTAGAATTCTGCAGTATGATGTATTTTATGACGTGAATGCCACTTATTTATTTATCTGAATAAAAGTATTATTTTATGGAGAGGCGTGCGAACTTATTTTTTGTTGTGAAACTTATATTGTGATGTGCATGTCACTTATTGAAAAACCCACTAAATGGTGTGATTTAGGGATGGAATTGAGCACTACTCTATATTTTTAAGTTTATTTTAATACTCCAAAAGTTTCAGAGATAAACTCTTTGAGAGTTGAGAGATATCATATTTTTATTATGGGATGCTCATCTTCAATTCTGCAGTAAATTAAAAGATATGGCATGTTGAGGCACATATTAGTATTGCTCATAATGAAAGCCTTTTTTCTTAGGGCTCATTCAAAATTCTTATAATGTTCCATGAGTATGATTTATAGCAGTAAAACTTCAGAGAGAAGTAATACAAAGTTGGCAAGTATGACACTCTATGTGAAGAGTGTTCAATCTAGGAACTGCAGATAGAAGAAGAAACACAATACATGTAAACATGTCTTGGTTTCTATTTGTAATAAAGCGATGTGTAGAGAGCCTTAGTGGCATAATAGAAACACTGCGATAAGTGAGAATATCAAGATTGTGATTTTTGGTATGATAACATGAAGAAAATTATTTCTTTATATGTGTAAGGGAGAATCCAAAGGCCGAAGTGGTGGATCCTTCATCGACATATAAAAGATTATGACCATGTACTTCTTCATCAGTTGTGTGCTCTTCCAAGATCACAAAAAGTTCATCAACAAGTAAAAGCAATAAATCAATAAAGCCTCAGTACCACGTTATATTGTTTTAAGATATGAAATTTATCACACATTATATGGTAAGGTTATATAAGGAAAGTGGATTCAATAGCTTTTTTTATTTATGTTTTATATACTTCTTTGATTATATTTTGGCTATTTGTTTATGACTATGAATGGAGTGTATGAACATCAAGAAATAAGTGCTAACAAGTTTGAAGAGCCAGTTTTTTTAATACCTCGTGTTTTAGTACTTCCTTGTGCTTGTACTTGTATGAACTACTTATGGTAGTGATTGTTGGGTGTATTTTCCAGTCACCTATTAGGCTAAGTGCATTTTAACACCTGATAGAGATTGAGGAGATAAAAGCCTTAATGATGAATACTTGAAGGTATGTTTTGGGTTGAGTATGATTCTTGTCCTCATAAGAGGGTAAGTGTATTATAACCAATGCTTGACAAAGATATCAACATGGAGAGTATTGAACCGACACTTGATAAAGGGATAACATTAGAAAAGTGTAAGTTTTATAACAAATATTGTATAAAGCTATCTTAACGGACGATGGATAGGAGAGATATAAGTTTGACAAGCTTAAACTTTTGAAGGTATATCCTAAATGATAAATATGTTCCCTAGTCACCATGTAAAACTAAGTGTATTCTAATGAACGCTTGATAGACTAAGGATGTTAAATATGCAATGAAGTCGGTAACGCATGTTGGATAAATTATCTTAACAAATAGTCGATAAGATATGAGCACGGTTCTTGGTAATACTTGCCGAGATAAGCCTCATGATATGAAGATAGGATATGCTCAGGATTTGTGATATGAAGGCCGCCTTCGAAATCCTGATTCGTCAGTCTGCCTCTATATGTATTGACATACAACCGATAAAGATATGCTACCAATAGCTCGTCAATTAAGCATGTTCAAGTTTAACTTATAGTCGATGATAGAAAATATGAAGTCATCTCCTTGTGAGACAAGTTTTAGGATACATGTACTTTTAAGACCCGATATCCCTATCCATGTGTTATGTGGAGGAACCTGATGCGGTTTGATATACATATTTTCTTAAAATTCATCGTTAGTAAGACGTGCACATCGTAACTTACGGTCTATGAAAAGAGCTCATGAAGACATTTTAATTTGAGATGAAACTCTGAGATGCAAATACTCCTATGGTATATGTATGTCTCTCTACTGGATATTGAAGGAGATTTGGGGGAGATATGATATGACTCTTTTAATCCGTCATTCGTTGAAGATATGTGGCTTTAATAGACAGAGCATAAGGGAAACCTCATCATATGTTGCGGTAAATCCTTGAAGGTATACATGTTGATGCCTGATAGGCCTTAAAGTCCAAGAATGATATAACATGCGCAATATTTGGACTTGGCTTAACCCATATCCATATCACTGTCAATTAAGATATGCCTTGACCGACACCCCGAAAGCTTGGTGTTTTGACATAATGTCGAGACTTTCAAGGACCTATATCCAAGGCATTATAACCCTCGCACTGAAGTTTCATATCAATCGGAAGTGAATTAACTCCTCATCCGCATACCTTGATAGTTGGAGCCTAAGCGATATACCCGGTGTGTAATAGTTCGGTTAACACCCGGTTACCAAAGTTGGTATTCCTATATCGATATGAAGAATTTTCTCATGGGATCATCAGGGCTATTGGATTCTTGACAATGCTTTATCATCCTTAAAATATGTAGCATTGATTGATTTATATATTTGAAATGGTTGCATCCGTAATCCTCTGGTTATGCTGACGCGATTTCCAGCATGAACACAATGAGTTAGATGGACCATATTTTCTCATTTGTGATCCATTTTCAATGCGAACTTGGGCCATTGTGTTTGTCTTTGAGCTCTCTTTCACCTTTCCAAATTTCGTGATCCATCAGGAAGCGACTAAGAATATAAGAAGATGCATCAAGTTGTGTTGCAGAAGCTTAACGAATGAGTGATAGAAGACACTAGAATCCCTGATTTTTCTCAAGATGATAACTCTGTTAATTAAGGGATCCGTGAATTCAAACTAAGAGATAAGCATTGACTAAGCGTATAACTATCCTCAAAGACATTTGTATGAACATAAGTTTCGACCACCTCGAGCTCTTAAGGATTACAATATTTGGCTGCTTCCTCTTCCAGCATTGGAATTGGAATTGTTGTAACCTCGTCCACCTCTATTAAATGTCTGACGCCCTCTTTGACCTTTACCTCTAAATCCTCCTCTTTCATTTTTTAGGGAGAGATTGGTTTTGAGCACTTGATCCAAAGAAGTGTTTGATTTCTTCTTTGTTCAAGGGCTTACAAGGAACTCACCAGTTGATCGGTAGTCATAGTCGACAAATCTTTACTTTCTTCTATTGCTACAACTATGTGCTCAAAGTTATGTAAGAGAATTTAATATTTTCTCCATGTTATGTACCTCGTCTAGGACCTCACCATTTCTCTTGAGTTGGTTTGCTATGACCAACACTCTTGAGAAGTAATCAGAAATTAATTCTCTCGCTTTCATGTGTAGCATCTTGAACTCAGCTCTTAATGTCTGCAGACAAACTTTCTTCACTTTATCTTCTCATTTGAAGACATTTTGTAAGATCTCCCATGCTTGTTTTGCAGAAGCAGCATAAGCAACATTTTCATAGGTGCATTCGTCAATGCCTTGATAGATTAAAAAGAGGGGCTCTCTTGTTTAGTCTCCTCGATTCTTTTGGAGCAGCCTTCTGATTGTTTGTCATTTCAGCTTCCTCTTCTAGGGTTTGGGGTTCATTGTACCATTTTTCAACAACCTCCCACACATCATGTAATCCGAGCGCCGCCTTCGTTTGAATACACCAATTTCCGTAATTTTATTTTGTAAGACGAGGAACTTGAGGTTGGAGCATCATACTTGAGGGCACCATGCTTTACGAACCATACTTTGATACCAATTTGATAGAAATCTATTGCGGCAAAAATTCCAAAACATAGAATAAAAAAGCTGCGGCACAAAGGAACAAATAGGAAGTTGTACTGATTAAACAAGTTTCCACTATTGCATTTAAAATAGTAAACAAGATACGAGTACAATAAGATAATATGCACTTCCGGAACGCACTCTCACTTGAGGATTTTTTTTTGCGCATCTCTTTCTTAGGACTTGTCTTTTATTTTTTTTCTCGGGTTCTCTTGCATGCTTAGTTATAAGCCTCTTTTTAAACCACTAAATGCACCATCATACAACATAAGATGGTCTACAATCTTCCATTGCCATTGACTAGTCTTCGTAAATGTGTTTTTGTGAGTGGCGGTACGAAGATGTGGAATGGTGTAGAAGAGAGAAAGTCGGTGAGAGAGTTCTGGAAGCGGGACAAAGTACTATTATTTCAACAGTTTACAGTTAGTCGTGACAAGAGGTAGACCTCTTTCTCCATTATTACAGAGGAAGGGAAGGCTTTCTTATTTTTCTTTTTCTTTTTTTTTCTATTTTTCCCATTATTACAGAGGAAGGGAAGGCTTTTTTTCTTTTTATTTTTTATTTTTTATTTTTTTCAGTAGAAAATGAAGGTCTTCTTCATTAAAGGGATTGCCATAGCTTAAAAAGCTTGAGAAAAAGTGAAGTGAAATTTGATGAGGGATGACTCTGAATTTTGTGAACACAAAAAAAGTGGGATACGAGAAAACAATTTGAGGTACGTTTGGTTCGTGAGTAAATATTTATCGGGAAATATTTACATATATAAATATTTTATCTGCGTAAATATTTGCATATGTGTTTTTTTTAGCATGTTTGATAGCACATTTAAAAAACATTGTGTACACAGTTGCATATATTTTTGGTAGCGCATGGTTGGTGTAAAAATATTTACACAAAACGTTGAATAGATATCTGTATTATATACATAATACGATAAATAGATATTATTATATAATGTAATGAATATATATTATATATACAAGATATAATATATAATAAAATATATGTAATATTATATATAATATATGATATATGATATATTATATATCATATAATATTATATATTATATAACATATAATGTATAATATATAATATATATTACTTTATAAACAATAATAATACTCATTATATATTATTTATGTGAGAATCATATAGAATAATAAGGACCCTTAAAAGTTTTAGAGAGAGAGAATAGTTTCCAAGGTTTTAGAGAGGAAAAAAATTAGGCTAAAAATGGCCTTTTGATATTGAAAGAGATAAGTACAGGTAGAGAGAGAAGGAGAGAGAGATGGGGGGTAGAGAAAGAAAAAGAATAAAAAGAGAGAAGGCTGGTAGAAAGAGACGAGAGAATAAAAAAAAAAAATATGCTTGGGTCTAGGGTGCTACAAAGTTGATTTTGAGGGTATCTATAATTTTTTCAACATATTATTTAGATTTTTAGATGATTTGGAAATTTTTATATTTTTCCTTTCTTATTTTTCTGAAATATTCAAAGCTCTATATCAAAATTTTCAATAATCCGTCTTTTGTAGATTTTTCATCATCTTCACTCTTTTATGATTTTTATACCTCTTTCGATTTTTCCTATTTTTAACCAAATTTTATTTATTTTTACTTCGAAATATTTTTGGTTGTATACATAACTCGGCTGAGTCCATTTAGACTTGCCAAGTTACTCGTCTCAGCCAAGGGCCATGGCCGAGTCGAGCTTTAGAACCTTGGGCCCGAGTTCAGGGGCACACTGATGACTCACCTCAGTTCCTTGTTTTTGCTTTCTGCCCCATTTCACCCACCATAAATCAACTCGAATACCATTTAAAGGGCAGCAATGTTGAGAAACCAACTGTGACAAAAATAAACCCTTGTGTTTGAACAAAAACATTTTATTGTGGGAAAGAGGTACAGGTCAGAACTATTTGACAGTTAACCCAATCTCACAATAAAAGAAATGAATGACTAAATACAAATCAAGTATCATACAAAAACATGATATATATATGAGGCAATTACACAGAGAATGATATAAATAACAGTTTTACGAGTTCCTCACCCACTTCGCCTCCCAAGCCGGATACCCCAAGACGATATCACATGCTCGCTCATTAAAGGTAACAAATCTATTCGTTTGCACAAAGAGAGTTCCCCTCCCTTTCAAACAACCCCTGAGAAGAGAATGCCGCTCATCGTCGTCCCTTCGAGAAGGAGAAATCATGATGCGGCATGGTGATCTCATGGTGTGGCGGTGCCTCGTGGGCCGCAGCAGTCCCTTCCCGTTCTCCGTCAGGCATTGTCTGTAACTCCCGTTCAGGAGAGGGGTTGCCATGGTACGATCGATAGTGGTGGGATGAGGAGCCATCAGCGTCGCTGATGCGGTGGTGTGTGGGTGAAGGGGAAAGGGAGCCATCGGCATCATCGGAGTTGTAGTAGCGAGGGGACACATGGGAGCTGTCCAGCTCGCTCTTGTAGTGGCGCAGGAGGTGGACAGGGGAAAGGCCCTCTCCCCCAGCACTTGGGTGTAGTGGGGTGCCTGGGCGGCTTGAGAAGGGGGTCACACTTGCTGATTTCCGGCCCTCCTTGATGTGCTTCTTCGCAGTGTGGTGCCATTTCCTAAGAGCTGCAGCCACACGATCGTCGAAGACTGTGGTTTTCATGTTGGAACCCATCTGAGCCAGAAAACAAAACGAAATCAGGCTCAGGTCGTCGATCTTTCGACCGAATACACCATATACACCTAGCATGCTTCCAGTCATCACATCACAACATCTCTACTCTCTCTCAATTCTCCGTTAATAGTGGACATTCACAGCTGCTATCAATGATGAGCATTCTCAGGATGTTTGGGTTATTCACAAGTGCAGATATAAAGGGCATGTTTGGATTATCATTAAAGAGGATTTGTACTATGATGTGCTATGAACAGGTTGTTTATTATTGGTGGCGCCTTTTTAGAACCCATCTTGGAAGAACCCATTTCTTGTTTTGAAGTTTCGAGTCAAAATATTTTACATACCCACAGGAATATACTATCCATTTACTTCTTCGTTTAAATTTTATTGTTGGAGTATTTTTAGGACTTCGAAATTTGTGGGTGTATTCTCTTCTACTCAGGACTACCTTCAAGAAAACGAAAAACAAAATGCATTCCTTATGAGGCTGATAACTTAAACCTAGACCTACAAAATTTTGGACATTTAGATCCAAGCATTAAAGAGCTCAAAATCCAAAATTTCCCCCTTTCTTTTCTGAAAATAATCTTTAAATGGACTGCAAAATTTTAGACATAAAAAACTATGCTAAATAGAGTTTCCAATAAAGAGAATATATGAACAATTTGCTCTTTTGGGAGCGTAGAATCCGCTATAGGATAGTGATAAAGAGAATATCATGTGGTCCAAGCAAAATCCATATATATATATATATACAAAGAGAATTTTTAAATCCGGTACACAAGTAATTTTCGGCCATTGAATGTGAAATTGGGAGTTGTCTATTGAGTAACCTCAAAGTTCAAAAGAATATTTTTGAAATTATGTAACACAAGCAATGCATCAGATTTCATAGCGGATGGTTATAAGTAATGTGACCTCAAGGTTAATAGTCTCATATTATATAACCCCTGAGTATTTATATCCCGTTCTCTCAAGTATGATGGTTAGTTGAAGGTGGAAAGGAATTCATACTTGAGTAACTAGAGCGTATAGAGGGAGCGTGACGTAGCTGCACAGGAACTGTATCAACACACTGCCACAAACCAACAAAAGCATGCAACCCTAATTAGAAGCCCTTCTACAACAGCTGTATATGTGTGTTGGTGTGGCTTCGTTGAAAAATGCGGTAATCTATATCATTAAATAACAGAAATTTGACAATGTCTTCAAACGAATACTAAATTGTGATATTATTTTAAGAACACAGTTTCTATGCGTGCTTGGCAATACATATATTTTTTAAATATAATTTGATCGTAATTTTGAGAGAGTATATAATTTCTAACATGGAGATCATGAATATATAAAAAAAAAACAGGCAAAAACAAAACTAGAAGTAATAATGATATTAAGAAAGCATTTGGACAGTTAGTTGCACTTGTTTTCAGATGGGCCACTTATTTGCATCCATATTTAAGATAGATACTTTATTCCTCTGGACCGCATATTGTAGAAATGCGGTCCAGCCCGCATGAAACAATTTTTCTTATTTTAAAAATATGCCAAATCTATAAGGTCCACCTAATATGAGCTTACTTCTACAAGTAAAATTGCTGCTTTTGTATAATCCAAACCATTTACTTTTTAATGGTGTGGTTTGTATAAGGTTGCAACCTTAAACCATTCGTGCACCTCAAAATTTTCTCCTAACATGTAATTTTGGTGTAAAAAATTTGTAGGATTATCAAAAAATCTATTTTCATCTTTAATTATAAATTTTTAAAATTCAAAAGTGGTTAAAATCAAGTAGATCTATAAACATATGAAAATATTGAAAATGGACAATCTAGATAATGTGTTGCAAGATGCACTTATTGAGACTCAAAATCTTTTTTTTTTTCCCATATTCATACATTTCAATGTCGAGATTATCAATTGGAGGACTCTTCAACAATAAAACTTTTCTGATGGATTTTTGAGATGCATCTTTACTTCTACATTTTAAGGTGCAACCTTATATAAATTTTTTCATTTACTTTTCGGTGTGTATACGGGAAATGATGATTGGATGAGATGCTTTAGAAAATCAAGGATTTGATTTGGAACAACTTCTTTGGCTTCAAATGAAATTTTTAACTTTCTTTGAAAGGTGAATAAAGATTTTCGTGGAATTATTCACCCAGAAAAAAGATTTTGATAGAGGTCCATGGGCAATACCCTACCAAATTTATCGTTTGGTCTTATCAGAATTCAATTTGTTTTCCTTATTATCTATCAAGAGGAACTCACCCCATGGAGATTCTTATGATCACGTCTTCGAGATGCTTGTGGAAGCAGGACCTCAAACCAAATTCATACTGCATAGCAACCAAAACCTTCAAACTTCATTTAACAAACAATTTCCTAAATAACACCCGAGGGTGGTTGTGAGAGGATTCAAACTTGCTGTTGTCTTTGCTTCAGTTTCCAATATGTATGATTTCACTGTAACAATTTTATAAATTAAAAAGGTAAATTTGTTATCGACGGGTTGTTTATTTTTATCATGTGAGAAAAGATACGGGGACTTAAGACTTTACTGAGTGTATGACCCTTAAAAAAGCGATATATGCAGCGAACCCCAAGTAGTTGAAAAAAGACTATGATAATGATGATGATGATGAACATACCTTTATCCCACATGCAACTTTGGTAAATCCTACTTTTGAACAGCTCAAAATTCCATGAAACAAACTAAATTTGGCATAAGAAAACCTTGTTATGTTCCCTAGATCATGAATTTTGAATATGGATATCTTGCAGATTTGTGAAGATTTGAAATGAACAATTCCCCCCAAAAATGATATTTTTAGAGCTTGAAATCTATTTTTAAGAATCTTGAATGTCCGTGAAAGGAATATGTTACCGATTTTCTGATTTAAAAACTACACTCACACAAAATTAGAGGTGCGGCTACTTAAAACTATGACTTTACAAAATGTTTTTTGGGTCTAAAAATGCACTATCCAATACTATTTAAGTATTTCAAAAATTTTGCTTATATAATTAACGATGGAATGTATACTGGAAGATCATTCATTTCTAATACAAGAAAGTCATAAGCAATTAGATGTGAAATCCGACATTATTGAAATGCATTCGAGAAATCCTGTCTTGGACATAGTGTCGAATCAGTGACACAATACCAACCACCCGATTTTCACATCCAACAATCAGTAATCATTATGACCTTATTATATCAAACATAAATAGTCTTATCATGTTCTCTCCATGCGTGAAACTCTCTTCATGCACATGCACATTTAATTCTACATTTTAAAGTTGCAACGTTATATAAACTTTTTCCATTTAAAAATGGGATAAAAAGATAATAAGGAAAACTTTTTCCGTTCAAGAATGGGATAAAAAGATAATAAGGAAAACATCCCTCTCTCTCCTTAGAGGCAATTTGGATATGAAATAGGTGAGGACTTTTTGGCCATTATGATATTAAATTTCTAAGCATTTCGTCAGTACTCACCCAAGTCCATGTGAAGAACGCCAGCTGAAACGCATTCTGGGTCACCAAACAAACAAAATTATAAAAGTCAATACATCTTAAAGAAAAGCAATATTTTTCCCAAAATTAATAATTTACTCTTTTCTGTAGCAGGATTTTTAAAATCGATGGATTAAATCCCTGTTCAACCCAGGACCGGTGGAGGACAATCCGGGTCTAGAGAAGCTCCATTTTCACCAGCTATTAATTCTTTTATTTTTTATTTTGGGAAAATTTTATATAGAGCTTAAGCTCTAAACAATCAAATTAGGCCTACCTCAAACATTTCATTAAAAGTGGTTGTTTTGATGCCCACATATCGTCAAATTGATCATCGCGACATCAAAATGGATGGCATGAGAAAAAAAAAAGATTTCAAGTTTTGGAAATACTGGATATCATAACGCATTTTTTGACCATCTATTTTCAAGATTTTTAAGTTTTCATAGCTCTGCCCGATCTACATTATTTTTAAATCTTTAAATTTTATAATTAAAGATGAAATATATTTCAAGGCTATTACAAAATGTTTAGTATTGAAACCATATTTCTTGACACTATTTAGGTGGGCTTTAATTTGATTGTTTAGAGCCTCGGCTCTATACAAACCACACCTTTTTATATTTTGAATGACATCTTGAATCGTGAATCAACAACTTCGATTAGGGGTACCAATTGGGTGGTGGGTCCGAGTCCTGCACTATGTGATGGACCCAGCACGTTAAGTCCGGGTCTAAATGACTTTGACCCAACCTACCCAATTCTGGGTCAGGCCTGGGTTAATGTGAAACCTAAACCTGACATGTAGGCACCCCTAAGTAGGTAGGTGAATTGGAAATTGGTGCCAAGAAGATTCAGGGCACTAATCCGATTTCCACCAATCGGATTTCAATTATGTAGAATGAAGGAAAAGGAGAGGGAAAGGAAAGGTACCTGGAAAAGAACAAAATGGATGAGATAGAGGATGAGGCGAGGTTGATTGAACCAAAAGAGTTTGTCAGTGGGCTGTACAACTGGGACGCCTTTGACAACATCCCCTCTATCCTGTATCTTCAAACCCATCTTCGTTATCACGACTTGAAGTTTTGTCCCCACCAGAAGAATAATCTGCTCACCCACAAACAACAAGCTTTTGAAATCATCCAAAACATTTGCTACTACTTTTCTATCAAAATGACCATGTCAACTCATGCTCGTTCCCATTTTTGTTTTTGGAAATTCAGTGGTAGAAATTGAACTTGAGATATATTGTTCTTAACCTCAACTATTAATCTCTCAAGCTCGATTCTTGAAAAACGTGCTGAAAAAAAGTAAATTGATAGATGGATCGTGATTGATGCTTACGATCAAGGGGATAAATGGCAGCCACAAATATGAATACCACCCTGTCGACATGCCACTCACAAATTGTCAGTTTTCCTGTACATATTTTCACCTAAAAAATTTGGAAATGATAAAACATATAGTGACAAAAGGAATTGCTCACCATGGGTGTTAAAGAGTAGGAATACGACTGCGAAGAACCAGATGATAGGGCTGCAAAAGAAAAATAATTTAGCAATAAAATGACGAAATAAAGGTCATTTGTGTTGAGAGAGTGTTTGATGACTCTTCTCTTTGGGTAAGAAGAATACAGGTCATAAAATTAGAGTAGGGCATTTGTGCGATATCATGAAGTAATGTAAAAGAAATATTATGAAGTAATGTAAGATAAATAAAATCCGGTGGTATTGTTTGCCAAACAATGGCCTTTGAAAACACTGCAACGTTATGAGTCTTTTAGAAATGCATTAAGAAGACAAACCTGATTCCCACGACGACTTTGAAGTCCTCCTCGAGCGACCTTTTAATATATTTGTGAAAATCGAATTTAGTTGAACTCTGGGGAGCGAGATGGGCCTGAAAGATCACCATTTACTCAAATCCCATGCTTTACCATTTACAAGGAAAAAAAAACATTTTTAATGTTTAAGAATTTGGGAATTACCATGATAAAACCATGTCGCAATGTAAGATAATCCACTTTAGGCACAGACCGTACAAACTGCCGGAAGAAACACACCTGCATGGAATGGTGGTCAAGAATCACATTACTCAAGCTCCCAAAAATATTTATGAACTTAAAAATCATAGAAGCATTAGAATCTACGTAACAATGCTTGCTTATTTTCTGCCTGAGATTGGTTTTCTTCAATAAATCGTGTTATTTTTCATCATGTGCATTTTATGTATGGTGATAATTTTATTTAAGATGAGGTTTGTATACAATGCACACCTTATAACACGTTAAGCTGCATCTCTAAATTTTGCCGGAAAGTGTGGTTTTGGTGTAAGAAAACTTGCCATGGCTTGAAAATTTATATTCAACCCTAATTATGAAATGTAGAATTTTAAAACATAAATTGTACAGATCTACAAACAGGAGAAAATATTGAAAATAAATGGTGCAAATAACTTTTTACAAATGTATTATTTTTAGAGCTTGAAGTCCTTTTTTTCTTATATCCATAAATCTTGAGGTAGGATTGATCAATTGGAAGATTTTCAAACTTTGGAACTCTTTTTTTTTTTTCTTATTTTTATTGAGTTTTTGAGGTGCACCCGACTTCTATAGTATAAGAGTGCAGCCTCATATAAACTTTATTCTTTTATTTATGGCAAAGTAAGATTAGAATGCTTTGGATTGTGTATTGCTGTTGAACAGTGTACTTTCAATACATCTTTTAAGATACTAAATAGCGTAAAATCTACAATACTCAACTAAAATGGTGCAAACAAAGAAGGAAGAGCAATCGAAGTTGGCGTATCGTTAGATTTGGAGTCCTAAGCACGTGTAGTAATAGTCGCAGGTTCGAGCGTGAGAGGAAGATGGAATGCAAGTTCATCGTACGAAACTTGCTAATAAAACAAGTTCATTTCAAATGTCAACGCCGTAGCGTTTTCGCCTTGAAAAATGGAGAGGGGCGGGTTGACTTGATGACAAAATTAAGTTCTATTGACGAGAGAGAATAAATTAGGCCTAGCAATGGGACACGTGGCCCAGGCCTACCCACACTGGCCAGGTTGTCTTAGTCTTAAAAAAAACTAGGGTCTCGACGATTCAAGGGCCAGCGATCGGATAAGTCTGGGCTAGGGTCAAGATAGACCGGTTTGGCTTAACGGGCCCGGTCCCGCTCTGCCCTGTGAAGGCGAGGGCCAGCTCCTCTTCAACCCAATCTGGGCAGGGTTCCTGTACGGGCCCGCCCAGCCCATTGCCACTACTAGTGGAGAGAGAGGGGGTATTTGAGTTGAGTTGATAACACGTACAATCCATATGAGAATTGGTGACTTGGTCCAAAAGTTCAAGTGCCGTCTCCCAAACGAAGTCTCACGTGCAAACCGAAACCTTTCCGGGTCTGCTCACGTCCAATAAAATAAAGTAAAATAATTGAGAAATGCGCGTTAGTCAATGATGATGAAATTAATAAATGAAATGCTCTATAAAAAAAAAAAATGTTTGAATTGGTGAGAGGAGTAGAACTTACCGTGAGACCACTGGTACTCGATCGTCTTGGTCTCTTGTTCCCACTTTTTCCACCTTTTCATCTTAACACCACAATGAATTTTTATTCAATTTTAGCAAATTTCATAACTCCAAAATTAGCTACAAAAAAAAAAAAAAAAAAAAAAAGAAGGGAAATAACTATAGGCATTGTTGATGTTACCTTGAGTCTTCCCAGGGCCATGGTGCTAATGCAGTAGAGAACATGAAACACCGCCAAAACAAAGATAAATATGTGAAGCTGGTGAGTCCCATCGTATGATATCAAAGGCACTTTTCCCTGAAAAAATCGGGTCGGGTCGAGTGTGTCATTAACTAGAGATTAAAGTTGAAAAGAAATTTTTTCGAACATTCTGACACACACCCAGAGCATCTAATCTAATATTAGTAGTAATTGCAATTTCATTGTAACAAAGATAAATAGTCTCATAGTATACAAAAAAAATTTATTTAATAATATCACTAAAACTACCTGGGGTGAACACTTGTCATATTTGCTCCCGGCAAGCACGCGTCGGAGACTGGGGTGGGGTTGGTCGAAATCATCGAGCCAAAGTAGTCTACGGTTGCTGCTTCCCTCGTCATCATCCCCGGATTCACTAACATGTTCACCACCATTTATTGACTGATCGTTCTTTCTGCATGGGAGCAAAGAATCGCCCATGCTCTTGGATATGCATATTCTTGATATCGTATCCTGTCCTATTGTTAGCAGCAGCGATATGAAACCCAGCAACATAAGCTCTGCACCACCATTGTCATCGAAAAAGAATTGGTTCAATAGGTACTGGGCTCTGTTAAGGGAAAAGGATTGTTGAAGATGGAGAGTTGTGAAGATTTCTTACCTGCTTTTATTTTTTCTAGAGCCTCATAAAGAGCTCGTTTATGCCGCTTGGTTAACCACTGATGAGGCAAGATAACAGTGAGAAATGTTCAAAGAGAGAGGAAATTAGCAGAGAAAGGAATTTAGCATCATGTCTTCTTACTTTTCCAACAAGATGGATGGCATGCTCTATGAGAATTGAAACCAGAACCATCACAAAACAGACCACAGCAACGGCCCAAGTGGGCGTTTCTTCCAAGCTTCGGCTTCCGCTTGCACCAGCCATTTTAGCAGCCGATCACTGAATTATGTATGTATGTGTGTATGGATTTATTGCTCAAAACACACCGCACCTTGCTGTAGCGGAGAAAAACGAGCCACCCACGAGATCCACCGCACCTTGTTGTAGCGGAGAAAAACGAGCCACCCACGAGATCCCTGAGGTGAGTCGTATTGGCTATTGTTTACCCAGCCATTAACAAGCAGATTTCTTCTGATTTTTGAAGTTGGGGCACTGTAATTTGCATTGGGTTGCTGTGTTTATGTATGGCATACAACGCTTGTAAGGACCGGCTACCAGACAGCAATGGGTACCTGGAATGGAAGACTGAGGCAGACCGGCTTCTATTTTATAAATGAAAGTCCAGGCTGAATGACATTGTTTTCCCCACAAATTTCAATGAAACCCTCTGGAGGGAAGTTTGACAAAAAGGCTCCTATTTTACGCGGATTGGTTTACACTTGCTTTAGAGGAAAAAAAAATAAAGAAAATTAATTGATAGGGCAGCACCCCTAAGTAAAGCCTGACCTCAAAACTCAGACCTCAAAACTCAAAAATGTAGTTTTAGGGGTTGAAAAACATTCAAATAGATCATCTCGACCTTGTCTACCGTCGTGGTAAAAACAAATAGAATTTTAAGCCTTAGAAATGGTATTTTGCAACATATTATTTTGATTGCCCATTTCACGTTAAAAATAAATGTCCACAGGTTCGTGAGATTTGTATCATTTTTGGATATTCAAAATTCATAATCGTTGTTAGAAATAGATTCAAATTTCATAATAGTTGTTGGAAATAGATTCAAATTTCATAATAGTTGTTGGAAATTGATTTGGGAGCCATCATCGAGATTTCCGATGTCCAAAGGTCTTTCAGGATTCGGATTCCAGGTGAGCCTTTACTTTATTTTTGTAGATCCTAGGCTTTATAGATTCCAAAAATAAGAGATGCAAATTCTTTAAGTCCTAGGCCATGTGAAAAAACGTAAAGCCTCAGTTAGAAATCTTACCCGAAAAATACTTTTGGCATAGAAAATCCTGGATCTAAAATTTATTTCTGCTACTAATTATAAAATTTCTACTACTAATTATAAAATTTATAGCTCAAAAAATGGTGGAGATCTTGTGGATATGTGAACACTTGAAAATGGATGGCTTAGATAATGTGTTATAATACACCCTGGTTTTAGGGCTTGAAATCTTAATTTTATCCACAATCATAACGATCGAGGTCAAGATGATCGATTTGAAGGTTTTTTTTAATTTTTTACTGTTAAATTATAATTTTTTTTGTAAGTTTTGAGATGGGACTTTTCATTTTTTCCATAAAGCCTTGGCCTTTTCCGAAAGTTGAATGTATTCGCTCATTTTCTCCAAATTTGGAGATCAACGGACGAGAATCCCTAGTGTACAAAGCAAACAACGACCCATGAACCAACCTTCCAAATGGGCATCTGGACTCAAGGGGATGAAGACTTCTATGACCAACATTATTTAATTGGTGAGGCACAATTAGAATAGTATTTTCTTAAGGCCAAATAATAAAAGGAAAATTGTTTTATGAGTCGGGGGGACACATTTCTACATTTGCGTCTCCGAAGGCATAAAACCTCCACCTGAAAGATGGATGAAAATGGTTGAACCCACCAATAAAAGTTAAAACCAATGGTTTAAAGATTCCCTCCCCAAAATTATTTAATTCAAAATTTTAAAATTTATTTATTTATTTACATATTACTGGTTTTCATATTAGACATTATATATTCCTTAAAAATTAAATCCAGAATCCATCTTAAAAATAAAATTTTTAGAAAGGATTAATTTCTACATGAGTCTCAGGATCAATAGAAACAATATCCATAAATAAATAAATAAATAAATAAAAATAAAAAAATAAAAAAAAAATGTTTAGGGGCTCTACTAAAATTTAATATGAATAGAGGGCATAAAAAAGAGAGGCAGGACCGGAGGAATAGACTTGGGTTGATTAATAAGTTGGAGAGAGAGTGGTGACTGATTCTAAATAAAAATAAAAAATTGTAGAGAGAGAGAGAAGTATATATAATTGAGGTATTCCCCATCATGACTTCTTCAAACGGCTTCCCCTATTGACCCCATGGAAACACGGTACTCAACCTATTGACCCCGGGGAAACACGGCACTAGCTCGCAGGATTTGTGAAGTCAAGGAAAACGTTCTAAATATGAAGAAATTTCAAAGTTACATGGCATATTAACCGGACCCGGTTTTTATGAGTCCCCCACCTCATACTATTTTGATGCGGCCTCCCTTGAACACCCGTTATTTGTACCGTTTTTTGATCCAGTTTTGTAGTTATCCATGAGCTACACTATAATGGCCATGAATATAAAAAATAAAATGTAATAAAATAAAATTTTAAATATTTTTGTCAGAATATCTTCCTATCCATTGGATAGGAACCTTTAGTTGTGGATGTTCATCCTAGATATGGACGTATGTGATTGTGCAGGCTAGTGAGTTCGCTGACTCATAAAACACTTTTTCATATTAGCTTAAACAACTAATGGGGATTTGTTAGTTGATCCCTGGATATGGAAGCTAAAATTGTCTTATTAATTGTTCGTTATGAAGGTAGTATGACCGCCAAAAACAGGAATATGGACCCCCACTATAATTAACATTCCATTGCTTTCGTTACTTGTTAAATCGAGCCACATTTGAAAATTGAATCATCATTTTATTCTTTTTACAATTAAAATAATGGCGCTGTGTCCCTTCAATTTATTACATGACCGACTGACTTAATGAATCGATATTCGGACAGTAGATAAAGGAAAAAGTTTATATACAGTGTCAACCTCATACTATGCAAGTAAGGTGCACCTAAAAACCCATTGGAGAAGGTTTTTTCTACCTGGAAAACCCTCAAACCGATCATCTCAACCTCAAGATTCTTAGACATGAAAAAAAAGGGATATCTAGTTCTAAAAATAACTCATATTCTAACACATTATCTAGACCGTCCATTTTCAAGATTTTTCAAGTGTTTGTAATCTACTTGATTTTCACTATTTCTGGAACTTTAAATTTCATATATAGGAGAAATAAAGATTTTCATGACATTGCAAGGCGTTGCGGTACTAAAGCTGCATTTTCAATGTAGTTTTGAGGTATACCTTACTTCAATAGTATAAGGTTGACACCTTATACAACCCTCACCAATAGATAAAAGTTGGGTTTAGCGCACACTGGGGAAGTCTTGTATACATGGCGGGGATGGATAGGCACTCTCGCCGCGCTCCCTTGCTTTGAACCCCTTTTTTTTTATTCTGTTGACGTGGCATGACGCGTGTATTCTTGACCCAACAAGGGACAAAAAGGGCAATACATCTTTAAAAAAATCTTGAGGTTATCTGATTATAAAAAAAAAAGAAAAAGTTTATATAGGGTTGCAACTTAAAAATGTAGAATTACATATGCATATCAAAATATCCATCGAAAAAAGTTGTTTTAATGTTGAAAATGTTCATCATGACATTGAGATATATGAATATGAAAAAAAGTAAAGATTTTGGGTCCCAAAAATAGTGGATCTTGCAATACATTATCTAGATCGTTCATTTTCAATATTTTCATATGTTCATAGATCTACTTGATTTTAATCATTTTGGAGTTCAAATTTTATAATTAGACATGAAAATAGATTTTAAGATAATTCTAAAATTTTTTTTCA